TTAAGCCCACTGCCTCAAAGCCAAACGGAAAAATTCTACCCCTATAACTAGATCGACTGCTTAAACTCAGAGACTTAGACATCTCAGGAAAAATCTATCGCATGTAGGCGAACACACTTCTAACGGTTAACTCTTCAACTTCCGAAATTTGATTTTTAATTCTCCCCTTTTGCTACTGCGCGTTTCCTTATAAACTAGTTATGAGAATTTGGAGTTAGATCAAGATAACAACTTCCTGATTAGTTTGCGTATTCTTATTACTCGCTTGTCCTGTAAGGTACGGATATTTTAGGAAGAAGTTACATGTTAATCACTTCTGGCTGATAAAGGGTTAAAGTCAAATTATTATAAAAGTTGGGCTTTGTAAGTGGAACGTTGGCATTTTATTCACTCCTTCTAAAGCGTGAACGAATGCTCCGCAATGAGGAATCACTATGTTTTGCACGGATTACTGCCCACACAAGAATCATGGTGATATAGTGACCTGTTCAACTAAGTCGTTTTATTTGACGAGGTTACCGTTTCAACAGCAGTAAGAGGGTTGCGTAAATAGCCGATGTAACACAATTTCCGATACAAAAGCTGTACGTGAATTTGAGAGTTAACTCAAAATCTTTTATAAATTTTCTCTAATGGCAAAGTGAATATCGTCTAGTAACTCCCGAGTGACGAAATATGGGGGGTTAGACTCGATTACCAGCCGCTGTCTGGGAATGAGCCTGCGCAAAAACATCCACGTAACCTAGGAAATATACAGTCACATGACAATCAAAGAAAATGCATTTTCTAAGCATAGCCATTTTTTTGGTGTGTGTTCATTTCTATCCCTTACCTTCAGAAAAAAATAAAAAAAATTTAAAAAAAAACAAGACAACCGGATTGCAAATTAGGGCCTACATATTAGTAATCAGGTAGCAAGCGACCGGTCGTTGCGACAATAGGAGGGAAAAAGTCTCAGCGTCAATTCACAAGGTGTGACATGAAAAATTTTGTAAAAAACCTATCACTGCGACATCAATTATCAACGCAATAAGTCGCACGAATTTGTGTACGATGATCCCGACTGCAAAAACGTCGCTGCTTCTTGCTTTGGGAAGAAAATTTTGTTATTTTGCAGTTTGTCACACAGACCTGTCACAGCGTTTCAACTTTGCAGAAGGACATGATCTCTACCAAATTAAAGCGCACGCTTCTCTTTACTAGAAGGAACAATTTTACAAAAAACATCGTGAACTCTCTATGGGATATAAGGACTAATCTTCCATCTAATACTACCAAGTAGCAAATAAAACTCTTAAAAAGTAAACAAACACATCTACTTCAAATAACATGGTAATAGTTTTAACTTTTTTCCTAAAATACTTGGACAATAATGACTCCAAAATAAATCTCAATTTTTCGTTTTCTTTTAGATGAAATTCTGTATCTTTTCTTGCTAGGATCCTAAGTAGGTTACTTTCCAACCCTCCGACAGGGTCGCTTAACACAATACGTCAGGGGAGGGACAGGTCGCTTTTGACTTTTCTCTCACTGGGCGCTGGACATGGACGAGAAGGCAAGTTTAACAGTGAAGATGGTTTTTGCAGCTGAAAAGGAAAAAAATGGATTAGATCTGAAAATTTAGAGCAAAATAAAGAATGAAAAAAAAGAAGCGTTCGTCACGAACGAAGAAAATGTTATGCACACAAGCTTGACAGGCACGAACATACTGTACCTGGATCACGAATCACGTAATGATTGCACGCTGCCAGTGCCTCAAGGGCCTGGGACGGGCTGTTCCATTCTAACAGACCTGCCGCTGACCGCGAGGCTGCGAATAAACAAAAAGGTACAATTGCATGTGAACATCGGCTCAGAAATTTTTTCTTTTCTTCATATTTTTCTGCTCCGCCTCACGATTTGAACAGCTTCATATCAGCGAACGCACACATCTTCATTACATCGCCCGTGTTAAGCGAAAGTACGAACATCTCGAATAAAGAGAACTGAATCATCTGAAATCGTCGACACAACTGAGGTAGAGTGACCTACACCAAACCCCTTAACGAGGTGACTCCTTAACATGAAAGCATATTTTTTGTTGTGGCAAGGAAAGTCTAAAATAGAGACATACCATTTGGAAAGACTTTAACAGCAACGGGCGGCTCCACGCCACAATTTGAACACATCTAGAAAAACATGAAGAAGAAATTGGTGATTTTCTTCGTTTATTTAAATACTTAACTAACATTCTTTCATTCCAAAAGGAGGTCCATCATGTGGGACATGTGGGATACTATGGTGATGAATCAATACTCAATCTGAACCTTCGAGCGTGTGCCCTCCAAATGTTCTCAATTTGAGTCGAACCTAATACAAAAGAGCTTACCTCTGTCACTTTTTCTGTTTCAAAGTCTGGCGGGGCATTAAAAAAATGTAATACTTTCGTTGGAGAAAATATACCTGTCACTAAGTCAAAGACAAATCACAAAACCAAACTTAAGTGTAAAAACGGCTACGAAAAAATAAGGCAAAGGAATAAAGCTGCTGACACCATAGGATTCTGATTAAATGATAATCTTAAAGCGAAGTGAACAAAGAGGGTAAGTTTCTAAAGAAACTGTAGCGCTGCGTCGGTGGTGCGTCCCAAAAAATTGTTCAGCGGGACTGCCCCATAACATTAGCGTAATAATAGCGATTGTTATGCTGAAGTCGAGGTCTAGCGCCGTTGAGAAAGCAAACACAACCTGCCCTTGGGAATTTCTTAAAAGAAAAATCCACTTTTTGATCGACATATCCCTCCACGTTGCCGTTCTTACTGTTTACGCTCTGCAATACTACTGATCAACGACCTCGATATATTTCTACATCCAAAAGTGTTAAAAATAAATAAATAAAGGATACGATTCTTGCTGCTTTGTTCCGGTGTCCAAAACCTTTGATTCTTGGAATTTGTGTAAGTCTTGTAACATGGAGTTCCGTCTGGCAAATCTGAGACAGTCGACGCATCTACAAGGTACTTTTGCTTGGAAAAACTGCAATGAAAATAAACCATTTCGTGAAATTTTCAGTTTTGTGTGAAAAGCAATAAAAGATTAAATTGGTTATGCTTCACTGGGCTTAGTAAACGCTCCTAAGTTCTCGCACCACTTTCTCAACCAATCAGATGCAAACTGAGACTACCAGCGATTTGGTAGCAAGCGTTTTCCCGCGCAAAAGGCTGTTCACACCTGTTTACTTTAGTTCTAATTGACTCGCGCCTATCGCATTAGAGCGCCTTTTAATCGGGTGACGTAAAACCAAAACCAAAGTAATAACAATGGGTAATCAGAAGAAAGTAAAATAACTTTAAGAGCTAATGTGAAATAAAAATGAAAACTAAAAACAACCAAACTGCACAAAGCGCGGAAAAACGCCGGCGACCAAGTCGCGTTTGGTGCAAGTTTTGAATCTGTTTAGTTCAGAAAGTGAAGCGAGTTTTTTTAGACCATAACGAAATAAAGAAAAATCAAAGCAATCCCGGATTACTTTCAAGACTGATTGAAACTTGTTCTCGCAAACTAACCGACTGACCTGAACTCTAACTGTTCACCGAACAGTTGCTGGTTCCTCAGACACTGAATGACAGTGTTACAGGCCACGTGGTCACTCAACTCCACCATGGCTGCTCCAGGCTTATTCATCAAGAACTTCACCTGAAACATCATATTTTTTCAATCACAACAGTCTTGTAACCCTGGCTTTTCTCTTTAAGTCATTTAACGTGCTACATTTCTCTCTCTATCGCCACATAGGACCACCCGCTGGGTTTCACTCAAAGTCGTTTAACGATGGTCTACCGCTGCTCATAAAACCTCCCAACGTTGTCTGTTTGGCCAGCAAGCAGGCTCTCTTATTTGGGATTCGCCTTCTTACGGTCATTTACAGCTGTTCTGCTGATTGGAGATTTCGTGTTGGAGAATGAAACAAGGGGAAACAAGCCGTTATTTCGACCTGCAAATTACTGCACGCATCCCAGACAAATTCAGTTTGTCAAAAGTTACATGAGTTAAGAAATGGCAGCCAAACAGAACCATGCATTGAACAACTAAACCCAGAACAAAAGTTGACCCTTTAACTCCCAGAAGTTATTAACATGTAACTTCCTCTTAAGAGGGTCTCAATGGGGTGATGGCTTTTACGGCTATCGGTTAAAATTTTGGCCAATTTCCGGCTAACGGTTAACACCTTTCCATTGTTTCCGCCAGAGATATTTTTTACGGTTAACTTTTTTTACAACTAATGGTTAAAATTTGTCAATTTTACGTCTAACGGCTAAATATTTTGGCCGTTTTACGGCTAACGGTTAACCCCATTGGGACCCTCTCTTAAGACATCCACACATTATCCAGCAAGCAGGTAACGAGAGTATTCAAACTTATCAGGCAGAAATTGTTATCTTGATCTAACACCAAATTCTTATAACTAGTTAACAAGGAAACGTGTAGCAGCTAGAGGGGAGAATTAACAACGATCAGATCTTGGGAGTGAAAGTGTTAAAGCTTACAATGCCTCTTGAGCGAACATTTAAATGTACCTTGAGGACATTTCCATAGCAACAAAGAATATTGAAAACTCTGTCGCAGTTCATCTTGTGCTGATGTAGTCCATACACCATCAGAACACAACCTCCTGCCATAGGTGACTGCTGTAGCAAAGGCCTGGGCCCGCGCATCACCATTCCCCCTCGGCCAGGATATGGCCCGCCTGGGGGGCGACTTAGTAGACCTTCTTTCATAGGCGGTCTCACTCCAACAGCACCTGGAAAACAACAAATGGATTAAACACAAATAGAAAACAAACTTACTTATTTACTTCATGGTGCGCAAAATAGGGGCTGGTTTTCAAACGTCGGAAAACCATTTGACGAACAGAGATTTCAGATGTTGCCGATAGAATAAAGTAAAACTCGGCGAAATATCGAGAAAATAAAATTCCTGCTCGTGTTTTAACCCCAATGATACGGATTTCTATGATTTTTATCAGAAAAATGATCTAAGGAAGTCGAAGAGCAGTTTGCATCCCCGACAGAAAGGGGCTTTTCGACAGTTGAAAACCAGCCTTTCCCAGTGCCCCTAAGAGGGAGATACTAACTGGGAAGTGGAAGACTATAACATTTTTCCTGATAAAATTAATGACACATTGAAGTCTCAAGTGTAGTCATACGTACATTTACCACAAGTGTCTCATTTTTTCCTATTGATCTGGAAAATATTCTTCAAATCAAGAAAAA